TCTAATTATCCATGATGTAGATATAGGAAATGCTGTCTAATTAAGCAACATCCTTTATGTGTAGACTATCGCAAAGTCAATGCAGTTACAAAGTCTAATTCATATTCTAGTCCACTTTTGGAAGTCTGTTTTGAAAAGGTGGGACAAGCAACCTAGTGAGACAAGCATAGTTGGACTTACTCAGAGGATACTGGCAGGTACCTTTAACCAAAAGAGTGAAGGAAATTTTGATCTTTAGTGACACCAAATGGACTGTACCATTTTAAAGCCACGCCATTTGGTATAAAAAATGCACCAGCCACATTTCGGAATTACCCACTTATGTGGTGTGCTTCAACGATTTGGTGATTTTTAGTCACACATGGAACGAACATTTGAAGCATCTTTAGGAATTACTCGATCGACTTCAGGAGGCAGGCTTGGTGATAAATCTGGCTAAGAGTGAGTTTGCAAAAGCTCAAATCACGTTCCTAAGCCATGTGTCCACTGGATGTGAAAACAAAGGTTATTGGGGAGTTTCTCATACCATCGACAAAGAGGGAAGCACTACGATTCCTGGAATGGCATAGTTTTTAATTGGAAGATCATGTTGTATTTTAGCAGAGATTGCTCCACTGACCGGCTTACTTAAAAAGTGCAGAAAATTTCAATGGATGGCGGAATGTCAGAAGGCATTTGATTGTCTGAAAGTTGCGTTAACCACTGTCCCAGTGTTAGCCACATCTGATTACGCAACGCCACTTAAGGTGGCTATCGATGTGAGTGATGTGGGTGTCAGTGCTATGCTCTTGTAAGACGATGACGAGAAGATAGAAAGAACTATTGGGTATTTTTCCAGAAAATTAAATAATCATCAACAGAAATATTCCGATATTGAGAAGGAGACCTTAACCATGGTATTGCATTGGAACATTTCAACGTTCATATTGCCAGTATTGTATCTGAGACAATTGTATATACTGATCATAATCCCTTAAAGTTTTTAGAAAATTTTAAAGATAAAAATTTCAGACTGTTAGGTGAAGCTTATTGTTGTAGCCATTCAATTTGAAAATCATACATTTGGCAGGACAAGAGAACATAATTGCTGATGTGTTAGCACAACTTTGGTGAAGGAAGATAGAGGCAATCAGTAGCGGAAAAACATGGACTGAAATTGACTGTAGCAGCGAAGGTTTGCATGCTTCGAATCAATGTAATGTATGTATATATAATGGTGTATTAATAGCATAAGACTAAAGATTTTTTAAAAATGAAGCCATCCTTGTACAGAAACAAAAGCAGAAGTTTCCGGGAAAGCTCAGCAGGTCTGGCAGCATCTGTGAAGAGAAATCAGAGTTGACGTTTCAAGTCTGGCGACCCTACATCAGAACTGACATTTAAAATGTACATGGTATGTATTATGTCATATCAATTAGGAGGTGAGTGTGGAAGTTCTAGCACAGCCACGTGTTGTAATGTATGGATACTTACCTTGGAAATGCTACACTGCTTAATTCTGGTCCAGCTCCGTCATTTGCAAACCTACCCACTCCCCCAGCCCCCCATACCCCACACACACACACACACACACACAAACACACACACACACACACACAACCACACACACAAACACACACACACACACACACACATATCACCCCCTATCCAAACCATGACACAGTCACCTTCTCAATTGCCCACTCACTTACGTAAAAACATGAGCCCTTTCAAAATTTACCTGAATATAGAAGCTACTATTGTGAAAACAAGGTGACGTTTTTTCTTATCTATGATGGTTCTTGCTATGGATTTCTGCACTGACCCACTGATTCTTCAGCTGGAATCAGAAATCCCATAGAACATAGAACATAGAACATTACAGCGCAGTACAGGCCCTTCGGCCCTCGATGTTGCGCCGACCTGTGAAACCTATCTGAAGCCCATCTAACCTAAACTATTCCATTATCATCCATATGTTTATCCCAGGTAAAAAATTTCAAACAGATTGGGTTGCAGCAAACTTCTTAGGCAGCATCAATGATGACTGGAAGATCTGCACTTAGTTTCTCGCATCCTAAAATTATGGGTGCTAGTATTAGTAAGCCTACAAAGAAAGGATCCAAAGCGGAAATGGTCAATAAGATGGTAATAGAGGCAGGTGGACTTACAGTGCCCTGCGGCATGCTGATTACTTGCCATGTCTTTATATGGAAGTTAGAGTCCCATGACTGATTTGAGAAGAGCATGAGTCGGACAGCAATGGGTAACTTGTTGAGCTAAACTCATTGGACAACTGGAATCTTCCAGATTATTTTCTTGAATTACAAATATTTGTAATTCATTTCAGAGGGAACCTGTAACTTGAGGCACCCTTTCTCTTACAACTTTGATGTAGAGTCACTAATCTGAGTGCTGCAGTGGCAACTATTAGGTCCCCTTAATTAGATGGTTACCCCAGAGGCAGGCATTTAATAGCTGTCTTCCCAAAAATTTGTCTTTGGTTCCAAACCATGGCATACCAGAAATCCTGATCTGCATTTCTACCTAAATATATGTCTGGGACCCGCAAACAAAAATTCAGTTTAGGTGCCTCAAAAGCATAAATTATCTTCATTGCACCTCTTCTCTATTAATGAGGATAGATAATCTCCTTTGTTGAAGGGCAGTAAGGATAGGCTAGGTAATAACAACCAGTTAGTCTGACCTATCAGTGGTAAAAAAGTTATTGAAAAAAATTCTGAAGGACAGTTTTAATCAATACTTGGAAAGGCAGGGATTGATCAGGAATCATCAGTGCAGATTTGTTAGAGGGAAATCCTGCCTAAGTAATTTAATTGAGTTTTTTGAAGTGGTAATGAAATATATTGATGAGGGTAGTACAGTTGATATGCTTTACACAGATTTCAGTAATGCCTTTGATGAGGTTCCACATGGAGGGCTAGTTCAAATGGTAAGAGTGCCTGGGATTCAAGGCAAGTTGGAAAACTGGATCCAAAATAGGTTTGCAAATAGGAGGCAGAGAGTGAAGAGTTATTTTTGTATTTGGGAGCCTGTGACCAATGATGTACCACAGGGATCGGTGCTGGGAGCCTTGTTGTTTGTTCTACATTAACAACTTGGATGTGAACATAGAGTATTTAATTAGTAATTTTGCAGACGACATTAAAACTGGGGGTGTTGTTGATAGTGAGGAGGATAGTCTCAGGCTACAGTCTAATTTTGATCAGCTAATAAATTGGGCAGAGCAATGGCAGTTGGAACTTAACCCCAATAAGTGCAAGGTGATGCATTTTAGGAGACCTAATAAGGGAAGGATGTACACAATGAATGGTAGGTGCTTTGGGATAACTAAGGAACAAAGGGTTCTTGATGCACAAGTCCATACATTTCTGAAGGCATCAGAACAGGTGGCCAGGGTGTGAAAAGGGTATATGGGATGCTTGCCTTCATTAGCCAGGGCATAGAACATAGGAGCAAGAAAGTCTTGTTACAAGTTTATAAACATTGATTAGGCCACAGATGGAATACTAGTCGCCACACTATCGGAAGGACATGATTGTACTGGAAAGGAGACAGAAAAGATTCACCAGGATGTTGCCTGGGATGAAAAGTCTCAATTATGAGGACAGACTGGTTAGGCTGGGCATGTTTTCCTTGGAGCAGAGGAGGCTGAGGGGGCTCAACTGAGGTATACAAAATTATAAGAGTTATAGACAGAGTAAATTGTTAGATGGCACACATATCTGAGACGAGAGGGCTTAAGTTTAAGGTGAGCAGTAAGTGGTTTCGAGGAGATATGAGAATTTTTTTAACACAGAGTGTAGCAGAAATATGAATGTGCTGCCTGAGAGCATGGTGGAGGCAGATACTCACACAACATTTAAGAAGCATCTGGATGAGTACTTAAAATCCTGGGCATAGAAGGTTATGGAGCAAATGAGGTAAATGGGATTTGTGTAGTTTGGGTGTTTGTTGGTTGGCATAGATATGGTGGGCTGAAGAGCCTATTTTTATGCTAGATGACTCTCTAACTCTCTACTCTATGACTCTAATTTCCATATAAAGTAATATTATCATGTAACTCCTGTGACTGCAGTTGTTTATTTGGTGGAATGTACCACTGCAATCTATTCACTTCCCATAATTGCTTAAGCTGAGAAAGTAAGTCAGTTTAATGGGCAAAGAAATGAAAAAAAGGAATGTATTAGAAAGACAAGCTGTAATTAAAGTTGATAAGACTCCAGGACCAGATGAGATGCATCAGAGGATAGCAAGGGAAAAACTGTTGAGGCTGGAATCTTCTAATCTTCCTTAGACAAAGAGGTGGTGCCAGAGGACTCGAGAACTGTAAATATTTAACTCTTGTTGAAAAACGGCATCAACCACATGCCAGTCAGTTTCAGAGGGCACCCTCACATTGAGGAGACAGGTAAGTTTTCTCAATTGTTCAGTGGAGGACCATACCAAGGCTGGACAAGTTTTGGAAGTAATGGCAAATGACCACCAATTAACCTAATAATTGGTTATGTACCTCCATGTCTGCAGGCAACTTGCTGGTGCTGTTCTTTCTGTTGAGAATATCTCCTGGTGGCAGTCTTGCCCTCCTGATGGCTTCCTCCACCATTTTATGAGTCCTTACATCTCCCAGCCAAACACGCTTGTAACCTTACTGGTGGAAAAGATGCTGAAAAGGTGCAAAGAGACTTGCAACATTCTCTAATTTGCTTTCACTTAGTTAAGTGTTACAATAACTGCAAAGGCACTGTTGAGATTCTTGTTAAATTGAAGAAATACATGGCACAGACACAGTTGGTTGCCAGGTTGCGAAAGGGTTCCATTCTGGGGTCTGTTCAAGTCAGAATACAATGTAGAACAATGTAAAACAGCTGCTCTTAAGTACAGGAGATGTCTGTATGTCAAGTCTTTAAAATTAAATCCCTGTACGATACTGCATTCGTAAATACGAGCTTATGTGAGTCGGATGTTCATAAATCGAGGAACCCCTCTACTTACTTTTTCAATATTGATGAGATCCATATACATTACTTCTTGTTACGACAACTGGAATTTCAGGAAATATAATTTAGAAAGAAAAATCAAAGCAGATAAGTGCTTGTAAATTCATGCACATAGTAGACAAGGCTAACTAGTAGTTATATAGCTGTCATGATCTGTGTACGATCAGCAACCTACAATACAGTAATAAATTAAAATGACACAACTGTGTTGCAGAACATCCATCTGTGGTAGCTGAGTGGGACTGGTGTCAGCCAAGGCAGGATGGCTGCCTCTTTTGGTAGAAATACCCCACAACTTAAGTCAAACTGAGCAATGTACAAAAGACTAACATACCTTTGACAGCCAATATAAATGTAACCTATATTCTTTCAGGTGTCAATTGATTTTGCTTCTTTGGGATTTCTTGTGTCAAATGACAGACAACAACTGAGATTAACATTAGACCTGAAAGATATCGCATATCTGATAGTGCAGTCCTAAAATGTAAACTTGGATTATATGTTCACCGCATTATAGGAAGGATGTGGAAGCATTGGAAAGGGTGCAGAGGAGATTTACCAGGATGTTGCCTGGTATGGAGGGAAGGTCTTATGAGGAAAGGCTGAGGGTTTTGAGGCTGTTTTCGTTAGAGAGAAGAAGGTTAAGAGGTGACTTGATAGAGACATACAAGATGATCAGAGGATTAGATAGGGTGGACAGTGGGAGCCTTTTTCCTCGGATGGTGATGGCTAGCACGAGGGGACATAGCTTTAAATTGAGGGGTGATAGATATAGGACAGATGTCAGAGGTAGGTTCTTTACTCAGAGAGTAGTAAGGGCGTGGAATGCCCTGCCTGCAAAAATAGTAGACTCGCCCACTTTAAGGGCATTTAAATGGTCATTGGATAAACATATGGATGATAATGGAATAGTTTAGGTTAGATGGGCTTCAGATTGGTTTCACAGGTCGGCGCAACATCGAGGGCCGAAGGGCCTGTACTGCGCTGTAATGTTCTATGTTCTGTGTTCTATGTTCAAATGTTTAGTGTGGCACTTGATCTCTCAACCTTCTAACTTACGGAGAGTGCCACCACAGTACCAAGGACGACAGCTTACATGCACAGGTAGCCAGCAACAGAAAATACTTCTGCCACTAGAACCTTCCAAAGAGAACTCAGGCAGAAAAGCTGTAAAGAAAGATTTATAGTTTTTACTGGATTTCAAAGGGCTGACCAAAATAACTTTGATAAAATTACAGAATATTTTGATAAAGTATGATGTATAACCTTACCTTGAAGCTTTCCAAATAGGACATGGCAATATACTCGGATGCCGCTTTTGATGCTGCGTAAGGTTTACTGGGATGTTTAGGTGATGCTTCATTAAACTCCTAAATCAAAGAAGAAGTCATACATAAAAAAGAAACACAACAGAAAACCTACATGTTCAAGCAATGTTACCATTGACAAGCCAACTTTAAAATGGCATTTTTAGGGCATTTCTTGAGGTTAAACCATTCATCACATTAAAGGTAGTTCCTTTAAGGCTCCACTCCTTCAATCATTGGAAATGATCGATAATGTCCAGATTGTTGTGTTTTGGATAGAACTTAAAATGGCAATCTTGTAACACCCGGTGTTTTATCGTTTGAATTTTGCCATATGTTATGGTGAATTTATGTATGTCAAAAGACATATCCATTGGTATAGGGGAACCTGTTTGGCAAGTGGAATACATTATTTGAACCACTATTATCTCTTCCATCCTTGTCAGGGGTGCTTCTTATTCAAACCCTTAACATTTATCTAGAATACCACAGTTCTCTACAGGTCAACAATTTTTTTTTCTGTTTATTTTGCTTCCTTATAGTCACATTTCACTTTTTTAAAAAAATGCCCATAACCACTAATTTCCTCCTTTCATCTTACCAAGTTCTGTTTCACCTTGTTCCTATATCTCATACATCATGAAGATGGTCACTTGGAAATGAAACAGGTAACTCCAGGCAAATTACATCCAATAAAATAAAGACTTTTAGAGACTTTTCATGGAAGGTATGTTTCTAGACTGAAAAATCATGGTGTGCTTCACTTAGTTTTATATTTATATCTTAGAAAATGAACATTCATTGAAAAACTTTTAAAAAATTCGACAAAATAAGTCCAAATCATAGCTTACTCAGTTAAAAAAAATCACAAAATTCTTTTGAGTGATATTGCAGAAGTGAGGAGATTGTAGGGCAGCCAAGACAAAGGTTGAGAGGAAGTATAGTATCCAAATCTGGATTCAAGAGTGAACAGACAAATAGAAGTGTATCCATGGCTATACAATAAGGGCTGGGAGAACTGACAATTGGGCAAGTAAGAATGCCTCAAACTACAGAATGAAAAGCATTCTACAGGAACAGCACAAAACAAAGAAACCATTCATAAGAATTAGGTCTGTGACAGACGTTGTGAAAGTTCAAGGTCTAGCAAACAAATGAGTAGGAAGTGACAAGGTGCAGGAATGGCATTGAAAATTGCTGGAGTTGGTAAATGAGTCAATGGAACGATAGAATGGTGAACTTTCATGGTAGCAAAAAAGAATTCAGTTTCATTTCTTAATGATGATCATTAAAGTATGACACATAGTATTATATTTTGGAGCTAAAAAGCTTGAGGTGTCAAAATTAACCATCTTATGTGTTTATCTATTTATTTTGTGCAATGATTTCTTGCTGTCACATCTTTATCACATGGTTTAGGTTAACATACACTCCTTTGTGCACATTCACAGCAAATTTCACCTGCACAAATGTGCATTTAAGATCATGATGCAATCCAACCATTGGGTAGCTTTACGCCCAGCTTGTGAATACCTTTACATTTCCTTGCTGCATTGTTTCAGACTCTGACTATCAATTTCTTTGCCTTACATGCAAATTTTTAGTTTAGAACCTAGCTTCTTCATGATTAGATTTTTAAAATTAAGTATTATTTTAATTTCATTCATTCTATTCCTTTCACATATTATTTCAGTTTCCAGTACGTCCAATACCAGCACTTAAATCATCCTTTTTCCCGATCCTTCTTTGTGTTTGCCTTTCCCTCATATCAGTCATTTTGTCCTATTTACACTGACAACCTTGATAACCCCTAATAATTAAAACACACAGCTTTCCTTGACCATCTTGCTTTCTCTATCTCAGTGAACATATGTCCCACCAATTGGGCATAGGCCATATATTCTATGGTGACATGAGAAGAGCCAACAGCTATCAGTTATCAGTATATGGCACATCTGAAATAGGGTTATGCATCGATGTTTCATTTTGAACTGATTTTATTTATGCAAGAAAGCTTTATTAAATTTACAGAAAACACCAATGTACCTTCCATTCAGATGATTCTGGGGCAGACTTGTAGCAGTACTCTTGTGACAGGCACAACTCCATGTGACAGGCAAACTCTCATGTTCTTTCACCCACCTTTCTGCAAAGAAAAAGAGCTGCGCCTTGGATTTACATTTAAAGGTTGCAAGCTCCCACACTCCATGACCTAACTCTCCCAGACTGCAAATAATTCCAATCTCACACATAACAAGACTTTCCTAAGATCTGGGGTTCCCTCCTAAATTTCCTTCTCTATTCGCTCTTTTAAGATACACCTTTTAAAACTTGTCTCTTCAATCTGCTCTAACATTATCATAAGTGGCTCAGTATTGTATTTTGCTTTATAATGCACCATGAAGCACCTTGAAATATTTTATTACATTAAAGGCATGATTTAAAGACAAGCTGTTGCCTTTTCATCTGTTACTGACTCCCCAAAGTTATAAATATACTATGTAGAATGAGCTGTAGAACCCAAGCCCACTGAGACAAGCAAAGTGTGGGAAGGATGGAGAAGAATGAGGACAGGAAAAAGGAAAATGAGGAATTGAGGATAACAAAGAGAGAGAAAACCAACTATGAGGCAAACTAGTGAAAAATATGAAAATTGACAAGAAGAACTTCTTGAAATATATAAGAAAGAAAGAGCTCAAAGTGAACATAGACTCCTTAGTAAATGAATGTGGGTAGATAGTTATGAGCAACAAGGAAGTAGGAGAGGAGTTAAAGAGACAGTTAGCATCATCTTTGAGGGTGGAAGATACTTTGAATATTCAATTATTACCAGAGAATACAGGGGAGGAATAAAGTACCATCACCATCACTAGAGAAGTAGCATTAGGCAACTAATGGGTTTGAAGCAAATAAGTCCCCTGGCTTTGGTGGCCCTAGGATCCTAAAAGAAGTAGCTACAAAGACAGCAGTTGTAATTTTCAAAAATCCTTGGATTTTGGAGAAACATCAAAGATTTAAATAAAACTGCCAGTGTGACATCTCTCTTTGAAAATGAGAGGGAGGCAAAATGCAGCTAACTAAAGACTGGTTAGCCTAACATTTATTATTGAAATGTGTTGGAATCAATTATTAAGAAAGTAGTAGGAACACATTTGGAAAATCCACAGTAAGAGTGGATAGAGGGGAACTAACAAAGTCTTGTATTTAGACACCCAGAAGGCATTCAACAAGGCACCTCACAAAATGTTGAAGTGTAAGAGCCCATGGTGTTGGAGATAGTATATAGGCATGGATAAAGAATTGGCTAATGGGCAGCAAATAGTGATTGGAGATAAGGGGCTCTTTTTCAAGTAGGTAACCTGTAACTAGTCAGGTTCCACAGGGATCAGTGATGGGACCACATCTGTTGTAATCCAGACTAATGACTTGGGAGGAAGGAAGCAAATGTACTATAGCCAAATATGCAGATGACATAGTAACAGGTAGAAAGGCAGATTGTGAGAGGGATGCAAACAATTTGCAGAGAGCTGTTGATCGGTTCAGTAAGTTGTCAAAAAATTGGCAAATAATATCAGAAAATGTGAAGTTGTTAATTTTGGAAAGGAGAACTGTTAGAACTTGAGCTGATTTTTCATTATTTAATTCTTTGTAATAATTTTTGGTTTGGATTTGTGAACTACGAGCTGAGAGCTAAAGGTGACCTTTGGACTGCAAGCAGCGGTTTGTTTAAAGAAAAGACTAAACAGCTGAAATTGTTAATGAAGCCAGGCCAAGAAGTTAACTGCAGGTTGTTTCTAATTCAAAGATCGCTCTGTGGATGCTTTGAATCGAGAGAGGCATTATGCATGATGTGAGAGCCAGTGGACCACATTGTGGTTCATAGCAACCAAATCTGCAGCAAGTGTTGGTTGCTTGAGAAACTCTGGGTCAGAACTGATGAGCTGAAGACTGAGTTTCAGACACCGTAACACATCAGGAAGGATGAGACTTACCTGGATCCCATGTTGCAAGAAGTGACATCCTGTAGGTTAAGTAATTCAAATTTAGCCAGTATTCAGGGACAGGAGGATGTGACTATGAGTGAGGCAGGTGCAGGGATCCTAAAGTTAGCATTGGAGGAGCTTTAGCTCTTGGCTTTGTCCAACAGATATGAGGTATTTAAAAACCAAAAGAACTGCAGATGCTGTAAATCAGAATCAAAAATGGAAATTGCCGGAAAAGTTCAGCAGTGAGAATTCACAGTAATGTTTTTGGTAGAGTAACCCTTCCTCAGAACTCAGGTATGAGGTTTTGGTGTTCTGAGGAAGGGTCACTGGACCTGAAATGTTAACTCTGATTTTTTCTTCACAGATGCTGCCAGATGTGCTAATCTTTTCTAGCAGCTTCTGTTTATGTTCCTGATTTGCAGCATCGGCAATTCTTTCCGTTTTTATGAGGTATTTACTCCCTGTGTAGATGAGGAAAAAGACTGTGGGGAGGATGGGCAAACTTACCACTGTACCATAGAACAGGAGGCCATTCACCTGGGGGAAGCAAAAAGAGAAATGGTAGCAGTAAGGGATTCTGTAATTAGAGGTTCAGATAGCAGGATCGAGAGTACTGCATAGTGTGTTACTTACCTGATGCCAGGGTGAGGAACATCTTCAACCAGCTTGAAAGGAGATTGGAGTGGGAGGGGCAGGGTCCAGTTGTCCCTATTGGGACTGTTGAATATCAGATTTTCTTAGTATTTATTGTGTAGCATGAGATTTCATTTAAAAGCTACTACAGCAGTATATAACTTCCCAAAATTCTAGCACATTTGAATGGTTATGAACTCTTGTCACTTCCTTTTTACAGTAAATTATGCAGTAAAATGCAGTGAAAAACTTAAACAGTCGCTTCAATCCAGTGCCAATTTGAATAGTTTTAAGAATAAAAAAGATAAAATTTATAACTGGAAGAGAATAGTTTAAGAATAAAAAGGGTCAAAGATATAACTGAAAGAATGTACTTAGTCCTGAGCCGTCTCAAAATGACACCTGCGCCACCACTCCAACTCCACTGCGTCGCCACTGCCTGCA